CTCCCTGCCAAATACTCGCCACCCTCAATCACGGCTCACGGCAATGAGTTTGTCTTCGCCGACCAGCTCATCCAGGCAGCCTACGAGGATGGCCCCATTGGCATCATGCTCATCGACGCACCGCCTAGCTCGCTACCAAGCTTCGGCTTCGTACCAACGGGCGAAGACAAAGGCATCGAAATCGAGGTGGAGCCGGAGGCCAAGGCTCCACCCTCGATTCCCGAGCCCTACAAGGACCTCGAGGCAGTCTTCAGCGAGGTGGAAGCAGACAAGCTGCCGCCTCGTACTGACACAGACCTGCCGATCGAGCTAGTGCCAGGTACAAAGCCGCCGCAAGGCCCTCTCTACCTCAAGGGGCCCAAGGAGATGGAGGAGCTCCGTAAGTACCTCGACGAGAACCTCGCTAAGGGCTTCATTCGGCCCTCGAAGAGCCCAGCACGCTCGCCTGTGCTCTTCGTACCGAAGAAGGATGGAGGTCTGCGCTTATGCGTGGACTACAGAGGCCTCAACGAGGTCACCATCAAGAACCAAGCTCCGCTCCCCCTCATTGAGGAGCAGCTCTTCCTCCTCCGCAACGCCAAGATCTACACGAAGCTGGATCTCAAGGCGGCGTACAACCTGGTACGCGTCGCTGACGGCGACGAATGGAAGACGGCATTCGGCACGCAGCTCGGCCTCTACAAGTACCTCGTGATGCCGTTCGGGCTGGCCAATGCCCCCTCCCACTTCCAATCACTCGTCAACAGCATCTACAGGGACATCATCGGCATCTACGTGGTGGTGTACTTGGACGACTTCCTCATCTTCAGTAACACAGAGGAGGAGCATGTCAGCCACGTACGCGAGGTGCTCAAGAGGCTACGCGAGCACCGGCTGTTCGCCAAGCTCTCGAAGTGCACCTTCCACACAGACACGGTGGAGTTCCTGGGCTACATCATCACGCCGCAAGGCATTGAGATGGACCAGGAGAAGGTCCAAACCATCAAGGAGTGGCCGCTGCCGCAGTCGATACACGACATACAGCGCTTCCTGGGGTTCGCTAACTTCTACAGGAGGTTCATCTCCCACTTCGCTCGGATCACTAGGCCTCTGACCGAGCTCGTCAAGCCGACGGAACGCTTCAAGAAGTTCCAGCTCCCGGACGCTGCTGTCCAGGCTTTCCACCAGCTCATTGAGGCTTTCACCACGGCGGGTGTGTTGAGGCACTTCGACTATCACAAGCCGACTCGCCTCGAGACAGACGCCAGCGACTTTGCCTTGGCAGGGGTCCTCAAACAGGAGACCGAGAAGCGATGGCATCCCGTGGCGTTCTACTCGCGCAAGATGACCTCGGCGGAGAAGAACTACGAGATCCATGATAAGGAGCTTCTCGCCATCGTCGCCTGCCTACATCAGTGGCGCCACATGCTCGCCGGGCTGCCCAATCAGTTCGCTGTGCTCTCGGATCACGAGGCGCTCAAGTACTTCAAGGCACAGCGCCGCATCAGTGGCCGCCAAGCTCGATGGTCAGTACTACTGGCTGACTTCGACTTTGTGGTCCAGTACCGGCCAGGAGACAAGGCTGGCGAGCCTGACGCACTCACTCGGCGCTCAGACATGGAGCCCTCGGAGGAGGAGCGAGAGCACAACGTGCGTCAACTACTGCACCCTAGGATGTTCGAGGTCGATACCGCCACTTCGGCAGAAGGCAGGATGGACCCGGCCGAAGTGAACGAGTTCGGCTTAGCTTGCGGAGCCTCTGCCGAGACCACCAATAGGAGCACACCGCTCATCTCGATGGCCGCTATCGTCGAAGGGGGCCTTACAGCGCTGGTGCAAACCTTCCAGCCCCTCAATGTTGAGCTCCTCGAGGTCCACAAGAGCACGCCGTTTGAGTGCAAGGACGGCCTCTGGTACCGAGAGGGCCGACTGGTGATCCCCAGAGTCACCTTGAAGGGCAAGCAAGGCCGTGGCGACACACGTTCGGCCAAACTCATCAGCGAGCACTCGCTGTCAGTCGAACACCTTCGATACATGGTCATGACTCAGTGTCATGATGGTGTTACGGCTGGGCATGTGGGGCGCGATGCCACCCTGGAGCTGGCTCAGCGCTCCTACTGGTGGCCGGGCATGCGAGCTTGGATAGCCGACTACGTGGCAAGCTGCCCCGTGTGCGCTCGCTACAAGGCTCCTCGCCATCGGCCATATGGCCTGCTCAAGCCGCTGGCCACCCCCACGCGCCCGTGGGGCTCACTCTCGATGGACTTCATCGAGGGCCTTCCATCCTCGAAGGGATTTGACTCCATCCTGGTAGTCGTTGACCGACTGACCAAGATGGCGATCCTCACCCCCTCTCACAAGACTGTGACCTCGGCTGGTACTGCCGAGCTCCTCCAGCAGCACGTCTTCAGTCGATTTGGCTCACCGGAGCACATCGTCTCCGACCGCGGGAGGCAGTTCATCTCGGCAATGTGGAAGAGCTTCGCGAGCTCGCTCGGCATCCAGCACTCGCTCTCCACGGCCTACCACCCACAGACGGATGGGCAGACCGAGCGGGTCAACCAAGTGGTGGAGCAGTACCTTTGCATGTACTGCAACTACGAGCAGGACAACTGGGTGGACCTACTGGCCAATGCCGAGTTCGTCTACAACAACACAGTCCACACCAGCTTGGGCGTCTCACCCTTCTTTGCCTGCTATGGGTGGAACCCCAAGATGCACCCCGAGATACCTGAGCGGGTTGGCATCCTGGACCCCAAGCGGAAGGAGTTCGCCACCTCGGCGGCCGAGCTCACCAAGTACCTGCAGGACCAGGTACGTCAAGCTCAGGCACGCGCGGTCGACCAGTACAACAAGAAGCACCTGGACATGCAGTTCAAGGTCGGTGATATGGTGTACATCAATCGCCGCAACTGGAAGACTCGAAGGCCAAGCCCTAAGCTTGACACTCGCTTCGCGGGCCCCTTCCCCATCCTCGAACGGATCGGCCAGCGAGCGTATCGTCTCCAGCTGCCAGCTTCTCTAAGGGTCCACGATGTCTTCCACGTCTCGATGCTAGAGCGACAGAAGCCCAGCCAGCTTCAGGACCGCGCGAGGCAGTCGGTCATGCCGCCCTTGCATGATGAAGACCTCGAGTTCGAGGTAGAAGCCATCATAGGGCACCGTGTTGAGGACGGCCAGCTCAGGTACCACGTCCTCTGGAAGGGCTACCCTGAAGAGCAGGCCACCTGGGAAAGGGTCGAGATGCTCTCCTGCCCTGACCCCATCCAGGAGTATGAGGAAAAGCGGGGGGGACGACCTCAACGAACAGCTCGAAACCGACTTCGGCAATAATACGCATCAAATTGCCGAAATCGCCACCTCGGCAGAGCGCAATATGCCTCTGCCGAACTCAGCGGCTGGACCGCTCACACTCGTTCAACAACGTCTTACGCCATTCACGAACACTCTACACACATCACAAGCAGAAAGACAAGGTCACGAACATCGTATTACGAGGCCAACCTCACTTCTTGGCCTTCTTCTTGGGCCGCTCGCCCTCGCTCTCCTCCTCCGGGTCGTCGAAGTACCCCAGCGCCTTCAACACCTCGTGCATCTCTGGGCGGTTGCGGATGACCGTATTCATGTGGTCACGGCCATCCACAAACCAGCCGAGACCTTCCTCATCCGCGCCCTCCTCCATACCCTTGTAGGGCAGGAACTGACCCCGGAGCGCTCGCTGCCGACGGTGGAACTCGCTCACCGCGTTGCGCACCTGGTCACCCACCGAGCCCTCCAACTCGAACAACTCCCGAGCATCCCTCGCCCAGCAGAGCGAACCAGTGAAGTCCTCCAGGCGATCGTACCGACGACGATTGCCCAAACCCCTCCCACCAGGAATGGCCAAGTGAGCTTGCGCCGCTGCAAACTCACCAGGCCTCAGCACGGCGTGCTCGTAGTCGCCCTTGTACTCGTGCCGCACGCTCTTGGGAATGGTGCGGCCCTTGCACTTGACCTTGTCAAGGAAGCAGTGGCAGCACGCATCCTTCGAGACGCAGGGCTTCTTGCCGAGCGCGTTGCCAAAGGCCGGCATGAAACAACTATACGGGAGAAAGAGATGGTGTCAGTACCGGCGCCCAGACAACACAACCAGCCGAGAACACCACCATACTTACGGAACATCGAGAGCCTTGCAGTGCGAGCAAGACAGAGTCGGCCATGGCATGCAGCCTTCTGTCAGCCGGCGGACCACAGTGCGATGCAGCCACTGCGTCTGGGCATCGCCAAGCTTCCACGGCAGGCGCTTCTTCGCCACCTCCAACAGCAGCCCGGCAGCCGACCACCCCTCCGTCCACTCCATCAGCTCAGCCTGCGTGGGAGCACGCTTCTTGGCCGAGGAACCAGGAGCAGAGGCTCCACTGCGAGACTGGGCTCGCACACGAAACGGAGGCGGGCCAACCTCAGGCGTGGGCTCGCGAGATCGCTCGGAGCCACTATGGTCCGCGCCGAAGTCAGACCCACCTCGCTCCGACGCCATATCCCCTCCGCCGAAGTCAGGCGTGGTGCCCCGTGGACCCCCAGGATGAGGAGGAGTCGGCGGACCACCAACTCGAGCCACCAGCTCTGCCTCTGTGGGCTTGGCAGGATGGGCAACGATCTCCCCCATGGGCCTACCAGGCAGCACCACCTCCACCAGCCGCTCTTCAGGAGGCGGAGTCTCCCAGAGAGGAGGAGACTTCGGCGTCCAATCCGGGCTGGGGGCGTTGGCCCGCCTCTCAAGCTCGGACGTGGTGGGCGAGGCCACCGGGGACGAGAGCGGCGACGAGCCCAGGAACATGGAGCTGCCACCACGCGGTGAGAGCCCAGGCGGTGGTGGCGAGGCCGGCTCGTACACTGGCGAGCGAGGTGGACCCACACTCGACGCAGGTGTACCAAGCCGACGGGCCCGCTCTTGAAGCACGCCCTGGAAGAACGTGTTGCTCTCCAAGGCCGTGGCAGCCAGCACTGCCAGAGGTGTAGAAGGCTGCTTGCCAACAGCAGGCTGGACCAGGTGCTCCTGAGGAGTCTGGTGGCGATGGTCATCCTGCAAGCGCTCGGTGATAGTGCTCTCGACCTCAGGAGAGCGAGGCCGAACTGCGGGGATCAGTGCCGCAGGAGGGACAGCTGCATCCACCTCGGCTGAGGGGAGCAGCTCGATGGCGCGAGCCATGGCGGCAGGAGAGCCAGCCTGGACGCGGCGCGCAAGGCCAAGGAGACCAAGATCGATGGGCTGGCTAGCCAACTCAATCCCGTCGAGAGGCTGCAAGCCACCGCGTACTGATGCCTGGACCGTGGCAGGTGGAGTCACGCTGCGCGTGGCGGTCCGGCGAGTCGAACGGCGCAAGGCCGGCAGAGGAGGAAGCTCTCGAGCCATGTTGATGATGGCGAGCGCTTCGGTGGTGAAGATGATGGTGATAGAAGCTCTACACCGTTGCATCCTGCCGAACTCGAAGAAAGCGGCTGCGCAGGAGAACTTCATTTCACCTTGCAGGAGCTCGGATCTCGGAAGGGGGGTACTGTTATGGGTTCGCTCGAGAGGTATGGGTCATTGCCGAATTCACGACTTTGGCAATACATGCCCAGCTCGGGCCGAACTCGAGCTAGCTTCTCGAGGGATGGCTAGCCGCTATCAAGGATCACTCCGGGAAGCTTCGCAGGTGATCAGCAGGGGCAACACAGGGCACGG